TTTATTCAGAAATAACTTATCCCAAGGTCTCTATAAAAAATATAAAGATTTAATAAAAATGGATTTCCCAGTATCCTTCAGGTTTATATTTTGAGAAACTGGATATGCTTTTTTGAATTTACATCACTAAAAATGAACAGCACATTCATTTGTACTATTGATACAAAGACATGACCATCTGCCATCCTACACCTACATGAGACTGGTGCTTTTCTAACGAATCTTGGGTATGATACATTCATATCAATTTAATGTCACATGGAAAAAAAAGCAGCTGAGACACCAGAATTTGAGACAAAAAGTAGTGTGCACCTATTCCTTTAATAAATTAGGAATGTTGTCTCCTCCAAATTGCAAGTAAATTTGGAGTTAATGCATTTGATATGTTTATGATTAGCTTGTTGTGCTGTTAGTCCAGTCCTACCAGGAATATTTTAAAGGATGTAATGCAATTCAAAAGCAGAGATAGATACATTTTCAACCAAAACCCTGAGTTAATTGAATTCCAACAAAATTTGTCAATCTGAATCCAGTTTCTATTCACAGTTGCTCACCAATATGTAAGACCAGTATGTATGACTGCAAGAATCTTACATAAACACTAATTAAATAGTAATAACTCCCAATAATTTCCCAGGATGTGGATGCCATTGTTTGGGACTGTCTTAAGATTACGACCAGTGAAAGAGTAAAAGTTTGTTAATTTGAAATAACTTTAATGATTATAGCAATTAATTTTGACTACGGTGGAAATATCATATGGCATAATATACGTGGTCATCTGTTTTTTTATTGTATTAAAGGTCTGTATTCACAGAGTAGAAATTTCTTAAGAGTGAGTGATGCTCAGGAAAGATAAAGATAAGATGCACATCCTGAGGTAAGAAGTTAAAGTGATCTTATGTGACATCTGAAGCAGCAGCCTCTCTTCAGAGGAACACTTATGCTGCATGTTGAGAGGTATGGGGGAGAAAATGTATTTCTGACAAATTCAGGAACAAGCTATATCCTAGGCTAACCTTTTCTCTTGACTAAAGCACAAGGCATTGCTTTTAACAGAACATCTCCAAATATGATTTGAAACAACATAAAACTTCCAATTTTCAAATAATCTCTTGCTATTTTTCTCATGCAAAGTCATGAAAAAATTCATTGGTCTAAGAAAACCACACCTATGTAAGTTTTTAACTCGAGTGTCAGTTTTAGGAACATTCCAGCAAAACCCAGAATGGCATAAAACATGACTTCTAGTCTGTCAGGGTTTTGTAAAAACTAACAAGCTAATTACATATTTTGCTGAAGTTTAGAAAAAATATATTCATATTCTGACAATTCTGACATGCAATAAATTCAATTTTATAGTGTTTCATAAACATTTAACTTTTAAACTTTTAACTTTAGAAAACAGGGACCTACAAAGCGATTAGGTAAAGAAATTAATCTTCAAACTATTGAACTAGCTTAGTTAGGTATCTTCCAAACACCTGCACTGCTGAGATAATTTTACCTGAGAGAAAAAGAACACACCAGATTTTTTTACTCATCTTTTTTCCCTACTTTGACCAAAGGAGTAGTCCACAGAAGAATTTATTTTCCTGGCCAAGCAGATGAGAACATGCTACTTGTCACCAGTCCTTTTTCTCTCACATAGGAGCAGTAACTCATATAATACCTATGTATATACAGAATGTATATATTGTATAAAAGTTTAGCATGTAGTACATATGTGTTATCAAGAAATAAAATGGCTAAACTACCAAAGCTTTTCTTAAGACCATTTCCATTAAAATGTGTCTCCTCCTCACGGGCTGTTACGTCACTTTCTTAATAACATAAAATTCCTCAAACACTTGGGGCTGTAGTTTACAAGTAACCACACTTTCAGCAAGAACTGCCATATCCTAGTGTCAGTACTGGCTGATGCTAAGGAAACATCTACAGGAGATTCTGCTGTATTCTAAAATTATTCCAGCATTTGAATCTATTCTTAAAAATGCTTCAGAAATGTGTATAAATCCCATCAGTTCCCTTGGGCAGCAGGAAAGCTATCTTTTTTCTCTGCTTGATTTCAGACGGTGCATACTGTGTGGTATCATTATTAGGTATCAAGAACAAGTGTGATTTTCTTCCTTGGTGTGAAAAGAACATGCAATCACTTAGTCTCCGCACCTATAATATAGGCTGGAGTTGGAACCTTTCTGTTGGGGAGCTTCAAATCTGTAATTTTTATTCATTCCCTGCTGGCATTGTTATTTCTTATCTCTTCTCTGCTCCCCCCATAGCAAAAAGAAAATACATAAATAGACAGATGAATGGAACATTACTCCCTTTAAAAACACATTAACTAAACCCCAAAATTAAACTTCATAGCCCCCAGTATTTTGGCAACCACTTGCTAACAGCCAATACAACAGGGTTGTTCAGCATACTACGAATGAAAAGTATTTGTAGTAACCATACTGTACCTCTGAACAATGTTTTATAAATGACCATTCCCTCATAAAGACTTCAGACAGAAAGCAAATTCACTAATTTCCCTGTTTCTTCATTTGTAGTCTTGTTACATGCAAGAAGAATAATTGTATAAAACATCAGCCTAAATTAATCTCTGGATTTAGCACCACTTTTTTAGCAGAGCTGCAGCTTGATTTGCATACTTTAAGGACAAATCTTGTCTTAAATACCATGTATGAAAACTTTCCCTGCCTCATTTATCTGCTCTCCTAAGGGAGTAGTCCAGATATTTTTATATTAAAAATGAAAGCTTTTAACTGTATCAAGCGATGTGGTTGTTGATATCAAAACAGTTGATGAATCATGAGCAGTGTACCATGTGTATTAAAATCTGTATTACTATCTGAATCTAAAGTACACTATTAACCACACTGGTTCTAGGATGTTTCCCACCTGGCCAACCCAGGTGCATAGTTTTCACCCAGATCTGCAGAGTACTGTGTGTGGCACCTGACCACTTCACAGTGATCTAGACAGTAAAGGATAATGAAACAACAGAACTATAAAATGTCTCATTTTGCATTCAAAGTCTGAGAGATGAGCCAGCGCAACCTCCTTCTACTATTTTACTTACCAGTCTGCCCTTGAAAGTGTCTCAAAATTACTTAGTGCAGTAAGATCTTGAAATCTGAAGACCAAGTGCCCCATTTCTCTATAGCTAATTAGTCCACACAACCTGCAATGCAAAAATATAACTGACTCTGTGTGTAAAACTATCTGGGGGGAGACAGCGTATTTGCATGCTAATACCAGACCCCTTCATTATAAACGGGACCTCAAAAAGGTGCCAATTATAAAGTAGTGCACTGCATTATAAACCAACTGCCTTGTGCAACTAATTGCTCCACACGCTGTACAATCCAAAAATATAATTGACCCTGTCTCTAAAGCTATTTTTGGGAACAAGAAATCATTATCATGCCAAAACCAAGTGCCAGTTACAAAGCAGGGAGTATGACCACTGTGACCATCTGCCTCCTAGATAAGAGATCTACACTTTCTGGAAAAAAAACAAAAAAAACAAAACAAAACAAAAACAAACGCACAACCCTCAAAAATCCTCTCTTTCTCACTCCTGTCCAAAATAAAAACAGGGCTCATGGGATTTTATGTATAGGGCATTTGCAGTATTCTATAGAAGAGGAGTATCTTTCAAAGGAGTCTTCTGTTCAGACTGAAATCCTGCCAGTAAGGATCACTATCAATTGGAGCACTGTATCTTTGTACACTGTTTGGGGTTCTCAGTGATCTCTTCTAGGGGCGTTCTGTGTTCCCACCTGGAGAATGGGTCCTACACAAACACGTGCAGAAAAGTCCTTTAGTCAGCCAACATGCTTTTTCCATTACCAAGCAATAAACATTAGTGAATTAAAGACATAGGGTAAGGGCTGATGTGTACTCAAGAACAACAATGGGACAGATGCTGCAGCTTACATGTTCCCAACTCATTGTGAATAATCAGCTGTACCACATAAATACTCAAGATTTTTGTATTATGTTTTTCTCTTCAGCATGTACAGAATGGTTCAAAACCACCCGTATTTTTTTTATGCATATAGCACTTAAGTATTTCCATGATCCAGAAATACTGATGTTTACACCAACTGCCTTTGTCCAAATTTCTTCTGTACTGAGAAAAAGCTCATTCTTCACAACATTATTACCCTTGGGGAAAACTGCAGAGAAGTTTCCATTAGGTTGTACTATTTTAAGCAGCTTCTGCAAATGCTTCTGTTTACTTTTCTGGTACCATGTATTCTGGTGGTAAAATAACCCAGACGTGGTTTTATAAATGAGCATTGTGAATTGCCACTAAAAGACACCTGAACTGTAGATGGAAATGAATCAGATCAAGCACTCTTTTCAGAGATTCAGAAGAGGCCTGGTAAGAACATGGGTCTTCTCCTGCATACATCTTATAATAGAGCACATAAGTGGAAGAAAGTTTATGAAAAGTGCACCATATCTTTTCTGGTTTCAGGGATTTCCCAATACACATTGCTCATGTGAAATAAATTCTACAGTCAGCATTATGGAATTGTGATGCTTGGGCTTTGACCCACAGGCTTGAGTCTGTGTTGGGTACCTGCCAGTAAATTCCTTGGTGAAAAGCAAATGAATAAACTTCTTGTAAATGTGTTTACATGTGAATGCTCTATCCCTGAGAGTGTTCAACGCCAGGCTGGATGGAGTCTTGGGTGACATGTTGTAGTGTGTGGTGTCCTTGCCCGTGGCAGGGAGGTTGGAACTAGGTGATGTTAAGGTCCTTTCCAACACTAACCATTCTATGATTCTGTGATTCCAGGTACACAACTGCAGCAGTAAAGACAACCTCATTGGAAGTACCACACTGACACAGAAACTGTAAGCACTGAAAACAACGAATATGGTCTTCTCATCCTAAAGACTAAGTGAATGTAGTAACAGAACTCTTACTGGTTATTAAGAAACTCTGCTTTTTTCTTTCTTTTCTGGTCACAGCAGAAACATCTTGAAAAACTATCTGGGAAAATCCAGCATTTGAAGGAGCAGAGTAAATGTGAGGTTCCTGATGATGTAAGCATTATTCATCTGAAAACCATGTGGATTCCTTGTAAGCAGCTACTATGTTTAGCTGGAGAGATCACTGAAAAGAGGAAGTGGCTGGAGTGGAATATAGAAAACTGCTGTTTTCACTTCAGTAATGTACTTTTCTGTTTCCCCTAATTGTATCTCTATCAATCTGTATCATTGCCACAGTCAGTATTTGGTGGCGTCATCAGTTTCAGCTTCAGGAGTTCATAATACTTATCAGAGTTCACGTCTCACATAGACACCACATGCACAAAAATTACCTGCTCTGATACAAAACTCACCTTAAAATTTAAGTCTCCTTCCTAAGTATTAAAGCCAGCTTTAGAATTTCAGTTACTGGGTGTCCTGGGTTCAGCAGTAGTAGTCATTTTTCTCCTTCTTAGTAGCTGGTGCAGTGCTGTGTTTTCGATTTTAGCCTGAGAACAACACTGATAACACACCAGTTCTAAAATACAACCACTGTTTTATAATCCCATCTAGAAAAAGTCTGCAGCAACTGTAACATTGTTTAACAAACTTTCAAATCCAAAAAAGTACGTTTATACTAAGTAATTGTACTTCAGACTGAAAAGCTGCTGTGCTTACATTGGTCACAACAGTCTGTCAGCATTAAAGAGCATTCTCAAATCACCTGAAATAATGCCAAACTAACAGAGTCTGCAATACAGAAAACACTTGAACAATTTGAGAAATAATAAAAAATAACTGACAAAAAAAATCCTTTTTTTCCTTGCCTTTAACTCTCTGCCCCACTGAGATGAACACTATTTAACTTTCAACATGCAATTAAAGCGATGTCAAAATTCTTTTCAGTGTTTCTGCAGCATCTGCTTCACTGATTGGTGTCAGTTGAGGTAAAATTTTAGTCTTTATTTTGTAGGATCTTGCAGAGACTAGCAGATGCTTGGCTATTGTTTCAAGCAAGTGGAATCCAAGCAGTAAAGACAAGAATCTCACAAACAAATGTTTGTTAGAATAATCATGTAATGTGAGTATTCAATGCACTTCCTCATTCTGCATTTCTAAGATGTTGTGAACTATAAGGAGTACAAGAACTTTGTGATATAATCTTCCTCTTTTGCTTTTACATAGGTAATGTAATCTGTTAGAGCTATGGAGTGAAAAAAAACAGGATACATTTGAATAAGATGATTCTATAATGAAATGCAATTAGATCAGTTGAAACACATATGGAAACAGGCCCCTCAAATTTATGAAGACTCCTATTTATTCAAGTACCTTCAGTTTCAAAGCTTAAAAGAGAGTATTTTCGATAGTGGGATTCAGTTTGTCACCACTATTTTGTGGTTACATAACAAAATAAAAATCAAACTTTTGGAAAAAGCTGTCACAACTCTCAGCACTTTTCAGCAGCTTTGGCTGAGACAATGGAACAGGCCAACATGCTGGCTTCATCTGTAACTCAGTGAACCCCCCCCCCCCCCCCCCCCGGAGTGCTGCTGATGCAGCTTAGTCCTGACCTCTCATATCCCCACACCCCACTGACCAGCTACTGAACATCCCCTGAGCAAACCAGTCAGTTATGAAAAAGTGGGCCAGGCTCTGGCTTGGCTTTGTTCCTTGGAAAAATGTTGTCTTGAGTGGACCAAGCTCATTTCACTTGTCCTGAACTGCTTCCAAAGCATGGTCTCCAGAAGTAGAAGGTAATGAATTAATATACTCATTCCAAGACTTGACTTATTCCTTTCTTTCTTTTGCTTCTCTTAAGAGCTATTTATGCTCATTTATCTGAGGAATTCTGGTTTATAAAATGCTTGGTAGCCAAACAGAACAAAAAAAGAATTGAGATGGGTCTCTCAAAATCTTTCTATCTTAGAATTTCAAAGGAAATAAAGCCTAACAAAAAGTATCTTGAATTTATTTTCTCCTTTTCTCCTTATTTCCAAAAACAGATACCTTGAATTTATTCCCTTCTTCCTAGGATATGGAGTATCAATAAAGAAAAGGTTAAATGTCTGTCATACTGTCTCAATGCAAGTCTAAAGAAAATGCAAAGAAAACTCAAACCTGACCTTGATGCAAATGTTCTGACATCCATAGGAGTTTTCTGATTGACAAGACCTAGATTTTGATTAGATACCTACAGAAGGCAGATATCTGATGCTATGAATACATACTGCTGCAGCTGGGCTTTCATTATTTATGCCCCGGTGGACATGTAGTCAGCATACTGCCAAATGTTATCATGATTCAGGGTAGTCATACCAGATGGTGATGAACTTTGTTACTGGTCGGGCTGCCCTATACATTGTAATAAAGTCCTTCTTTGATATCCTTCAGGTACTGATGTTGAAGCCTTTCCCCTCCAAAGGTTTTCTCCAACCATTGAATCACTCGACACAAAATTCTTGTAAAATTACAGATGTATAGATACATAAAATCCTTTCCCTAGCTTCTTCACATTATTCTGCAGAGTTATTCAAGGCTTCTTAATGGGAACTGCTGCTGAATTGTGTGGTAACAAGGTTTGCTTTCATAATCAATTATAAATTCCACTGAAAAAAGCAATCCAATTATTCCCCAGCTCCCAACCATGCCAAGCACAAGAGCTTCTGAGGCCACATATTCAGCCAGATAAAGGAACTGATTCAGGCTAAAACTGACCTACCAAAGAAAATACTTAGCCCTTATTTGGGTGACCACATGGCCGTGCACGAATGGAAATGGCAGGGGAGAATCTTCCTTCAAAAACAAGGATTTACATTGGCATCATCATTAAAATTCACCTATGGATTATTTTCCATTTTCACTTCCTACAATACAGCCACCATTTTCATATAGATTGCACTGCTTGTTCCTAACTACCCAGCTTTATAACCCCACACTTGTCTGTACTAGCTAAAATGAATAGGTGGTTTTGTTTGCATGGGCTGAGGTCACAGAGCAGCCCAAACTCCTCTTCATGGGTACCCTGACCAGGTCATGACCCTAACAATTTTTATGTCATCCTTAGATACTAGCAGTGATTTTATATTTATCATTCACATGTGAAAATGCAGGGAGTCAGGCCTCATACCTCTCCCATACAAACATGGTTAAAACCTAAATGATGATTCCCCAAATAACAACTACTTTTTGAAATCTGCCAGTTAAGTAGCACTTAATTCATTTAAGATGGGCTTTGCTGATATTATAGAATTATTTTTTTATCAGAATAAACATGTCACACAGTAGTAAGTCAAATGCTGTACAAAAGCCTAAGAATATAACATCTACAGACAAAATAAACCCACCATTTTGCCACCATAATTTTACAAACTGGTCGTACAAAGCTGCTAAATTCTGTTCTATTTTTTAGCATTCCATGCCTAAGTTTTCAACCTTGAGCACTAAGTAAAAAAAATGGAAATTAAATAATTTACCAGTTTCAGATTCTAACCAGTAAATTGCTGTGAATTTGTAACTGCACTATCATTTTCATTGTACTACATTGGCCATTTAGGTGAATGATAACCCAGGAGACAGCACCATGCAGGGCTAGCAAACAAGTAAATCATTTAGATTGCACACGGCTTTCAACTGAAAAAGGGGCAGTAAATCTGGCCTGCCATTGCCTTCTCTTTTGTTGAATTTTCTGGATGGTGCAGTCTTCGCATTGAAACAAATAAAAAAAAATCTATAGATTTAATTTATTGTCTGGGTTTTGCACGTAATGACTAAGGGTGACCAGTACAATTCAATGCGCCGGAAGAATAGGTTTAGTCATTTAAGATCGTTCCAGATAGAACATACAGCTGGTTTTAAGCAGATGAAGAGGAAATTCTGGTTACAGCATGGCACCATCTAATGGCTTTGGCTTTAACTGCAAGAACTCTAAATAGCATTAAGCGGTGGCAGTACAAACTGCCCTCACAGAATTCTTTTGCTCACCTGCCTCATTACATACCATAGCAGACAGAAGAGAGGAAACCAAGTAAGTTCCAAATATAAACCTGGACTGGTAACTTACACGGCAGTAGCAGCTGCAACCTACTTTCAAACCATGGCTTAATGTTGTAGTGCCAAGGTAAATACTTCAACATAAACAACTTTTAGGTATACAAACAGTGCAGTGTTGTCAACACACGAGTAACAGAATACTGTATTTTCAGAGCTGAGAACCTACTTTGGGATGATTTTTGCCAAGAAAAAGTATGCCTTGATTTTCTGTTACTCTGGATGGTAAACGTTACATTTCTTTGAAACATATGCTAAATCAGACAACTTTGTACAGTTCATTGGCAACTTCTGTTTTGATTTTATTACCAAGTTAGAGGTAGGGAAGAGATGATCAAGACTCTTGGATTGCATTCCCACCTGTTGGTGATTTACTGTACCATGCTATGCAGATCACTAGTTTGCCTGCACAAAAATTGTTTTATTACAAGTATGTAAATGCTAATACGAAAATTCCTTGTGAGGATGCCAAAGATTTATTAATCTTTAAAGTATATTAAGAATTGGTGCATTTTCATGAGAAGAATTACTGTTGTAGAAATTTCTTAGTAAGAGATACAATGGCCAACATTCATGCACAGAATAGCCACAAACATAGACATATTAATTTGAATATTAAGTGTAGTTTAAGAACACAATTGCCATTTAGATGTTAACAAAACCCAAGTTGTATGTAAGACACTTAAAAGTCAGAGGCTCCATGATTTTACCATTCCATCAATTCCTTCCAACACTATTACAATGCAAGTTTTAAGCTAACAAAAAGGAGGTTGAACACAGGAATAGGTTGCCCTGAGGCTGCATAGTTGAAAACCCAACTAGACACTGTGCTAGACATCCTGCTGTAGCTACCCTCAGGCTGGACTGTGTACTCCAGGGGTGCTGGCCCACCTCAGCCATGCTGCAGTTCTGTGGTTCCCTCAAATGTTTGCTGCTCCTTTTGAAACAAACCCCAAAATCTTAACACAGAATTACATTGTGTTTATCTCCAAATCTTGTGTTTATCCTTCAAATCTCCCAAGATTTAGGAAAGTTCCCTCTCTTGTAAATATTTAGGATAATATCTGAGGCTAGCCAGGGAGCGAGCTACTGGGAAGACTTAATACTAAATCTGGAACTAACTCAATGGCTCGAGAGACAAAGTAAACATAATGAAAATGCTTCAAGTCACTACAGTGGAATTTGATCACAGCTGGTATAATCCATACTACACAGATATTTTCACCTGCAGAAGCTGCCAAATGAATAAACAGAAAAAAATTAAAGGCAGGTCTATAAAGTAATTCAACCGTAATCACACAATGAAAATACATTTTTACAAAAGTTTCAAAAATCAGAGAACATTTTTGAAAAGAATGAAGTACAATATCAAGTGTTAGGAAATGGATCTGATTATTGCACATACTCCAAACCTTCTCTTTTTTATCGTTTAGAAATATATTCAGGAGACCTCCTTGCTACGTTTTCCACCATACAGACTCACACATGTTCCACTCATGTACAAATATTCAGTTATTTTTATGAGAAGTGCTGGCTTGAAGCATATTCATATCACTAATACAAAAGTGTCTGCTGACTCAGCTATAATTTGGTTGTCCTTTTATGATTACAGCATGAATCTGTTCAGAAGAGCAGCTGATTCTGAATCATGTTCTAAGCAGCAGATGTGCATGAATACATAAGCTTTGGCAAAGCCTAAAGCACCATGATAATGCATTTCTATTAGATCCCTCTTGTAAAGCTGGATTCTGAAGATGGTTTTGAGGCCTGTTTTTCAGGGATGCAGCAATGCATTTGTTCAACTCACAGAAAACTGAGATGTGAACAGGGAGCCACGGTTGCTCCTTTATAACACTCTGAACAGTTGTGATCACAGTCACTTGGACAGCAGTGTAGTAAATACCACAACCTGCACAGAAAATGATCTAGCAAAAGAGAGAGCCTGAAATACAGTTACTGACTATAAAAGTAGATACATTATTTGAACATAAAATAGAAAAAAGAAATTTAGTGTACTAAATAGTACTAAAA